AACAGAACATGAACCAGAAAATTTCACCTGGCTGTGTTCATTACCAATTTACTAGGAAAAGTGAATTATAAGTGGACGCATCTCTGAATTCATTCAGGTATTTGTTTAATATAATGAAATGTGTCTTAACCAACAGCTCAGACTGACAAATTCTCACGTTAATGGAATTAGCTTTCAAACAAAACATAGCACACCTGTACTTGGGACATCTGAGGAAGTCTCCAGTATCAGGTTTCACTACATAACGGTTTAAATATTTTCATACCATGAACTGATTCAAACAAAGTCCCTGTGATGAACGCCGCATCTGCTAACCACCCAGTTTCAGACCTTTCCTACAAATTATGTTGATATCATAAATATAACGCTAGGACAGCATTAATGAAATGAGGTGACTAACCCCTTTTGTGCATAGGAATGGTTGCTTAGTTACAATCCCTGGCCCCATACTATATTTGGGCTGCCTATTTCTTCTCTCTGGATATGGAGCTTTACTTTTACCAGGTCAGTCTTTTGTTGCCTACTGCTGTGATTGTACCAACTTCCATAACCCTCTGCAGTTTACTTCTGTTCTCCTGTATTCGAAGTACCCCAAACTGGGAGTAAACTGCAATACTATCAAAGCTCAACAGGAAGTGAAGTCCATAAGTCCTTTTGCTCCTGAAGAGCAAGGCTCCCTAGTTTACTGAACACGTCACGTTCCTTCTGGGGTTTAGCAATACAAAGGTCCCTTCAAAATTTTTTCTGTTTTATGGGAAAACCACAGATAAGTACATCCTCTTTGGAACAAAACTTCTCCTACCTCCTTTTTCTATACCTATAACCATCCCTTGTTCTCCCATCCTCAGACTTCAACTTCTTCTGCAGCCCCTCCCTTTCTGGCTTCCACATTTGACAAACTGTTTACTGCTCTAAGTTTTAAGAGGTGGAGGCATGGGGGGTGGGGGAGAAGAGTTGGGTTTTAAGGATTTTGCCTACTTTCCCAGATGATGATAAAGGGACTGGTACAAGCTGAAACAAGATCAAAGCAAGTACCAATTCTACCAACTCCCATGTTACCTGTAGTTTCCTACATTTACTACAAAATAAAAACGAGTGCCCAAACTCCATTAATTAGCTACTTAAGTGTCATTTCTTTGAAAATCTAATATACCAAAAACATCAGGAGCGGGAAGGGTATAAACAGGCTTGCACTACACTCTCAGCAAATTACTAACAGGGAAAGAAAAGCCAAATCCTCCCCCCGGTCCAAAGTTGTGTGGCATTTATTTTCAATTGTATAGCTCTTTTCCTTCCTCCTTTCAGCAGGAGGCTGGCTTCTGTAAAGAAACAGAAAGAAAAGTTTGAAGTCAGTGCAAGATCACCCCCTTCATTTCTCCCTGATTACAGTTATCGTCAATCCAGCCAGTACAAATGGATATGCCTCCCATTCACCATTTCTTAATAAGCAGATATTGAAACACTTCCCAGAGGGCACTAGATATGAAGTACTACTAAGGCATGAGTTTTAACAGTGCTTTGGGAAAAGAAGAGAGAAATTAGTTTCCTTACTGATGTATTACATTAGACACAAAAAGCAAGACATGCTTTGGGATTGATGCTGCAGAGTTCATTTGTACTCAAGGTCACATCACATTTTAGAACGGCTCCACTAAGAAGCTGCACTTTTCAGATGAGACAAAGCAAGGTCAGCTTATATTAAAAGGTGAAATGCAAAGCCAAAATAAAAACAGAGGCGAGCCCAGTTCTGTGTACTGATTCCTACCTTGCTCAGGCCACACCTTCATCTAGGAAATAGCTTAATTTACCCTTTCGAAGTTTCCTAGGCCTTCTGTGATCAAGGCAGATTTTGGGAGAGATCTCCAAAAACATCATTTCAAGGCATCGCAGACACCAGAAACCTACTGCAGCCTCACACACCATCTCACAGAGCGAGGCGTTCAAGGACATTTATCACACGCCAGAAAGCAGCAGTCGTGCTTCACACAAAGCAAGCGTACCCGGCTTAGCTAAAACATCTCCTCCCTGACAGTCCCCCCAGCTTGGCGCAGTCAGTGGAGGACAACGGGGCTTCATCTCGTTCGGCTTGGCAACGTGAGCGCAGGTTGCGGGACTCAGCAACACCACAAGCAAGAGCCCTGAGGGGATTCCTCGGGATAATCCTCTCGCCTGCCAAACGCCACCTACAACCCCCGCCGGGCAGCTCGCTTCTCTTCCCGCCACATGCTTCGTGCAGCACTGACTGCAAGGCAGCAGCACAGGGGGCAGCTTTGTGAGGTCCAGCAGGCGAAGGGAACCATGGGCTTGGCCCGCTGAACCAGCACCCAAGCCCTTCAGCTGCAGAAGGAGTCCACCCCCGTGGGGAATGACATCCAGTAAGCAATGGGGAACTGGAGCCCACGCGGGACTGCGGGGCAGTGGCTGAAATCAGAGGGGCGGGACCCAGCTCTTCCTCCCACATCCACCCACCCACCCTGCCCAGAGCCCGGGCTTCCTTCGCACACGGCCTCCCTCTTGCAGCTCCAGCAGAGCAAGCCCCACAGCCCCAGCCCGCGGTGCGGGGCCCAGGGGCAGCAGCCAGGCCCTCAGCGCGGGCCTGTGGGGGAAGCCGTCCCCGCACAGCTGCGGGGGGAGGGACCCCTGCCTGCACCGCGTCCGGATAGGGCGCAGGGCAATGGGGGGCGGCTGAGAACACCGACCTCGCTGTGGCGGGGAGACCCTCACCTGATCACAGCTCCATCGCGCCGCGCCCCAGCCCAGCCCAGCCCAGCCCCACCCCTTCCGGAGCCGACGCCGCTGTCACCACCGCCCGAGTCCGACCACCCCCAGCCACAGCCCTGCCGCCGCCGCCGGCAACTTGCAGGCACGGAAGCGCCCGCCTCCCCCGGCGCCCCAGCCCGAGCGAGTGACGTACCGGCCCGCCAATCAGAGTGCAGCGAGCGCCGTGACAGACACTGCCGCCAGCCAGCAGTTGCAGAGCGACGCTGAAACGCCACTGGCCTCGGGGCGGGGCCGGCTGTTACGTGACGTCGACAACGACCAACCGCCAGATAGAAATGATGTCATCGCGGGGCGCGGCCGGAGTCCCCTGGGGGGGCGGGGCATGTCTGGACTCTTAAAGGGGCAGCGCGCGCCTAGCTTGAGGCTTCTGGCGGGGCCGGGGGGGCCCTGGGTGTGTCGGGAATCAAAGCGGGTGCGAGTACCCCAGTGTACCCCCGGGGGCCGCTCCTGGCTGCAGGGATTGCAACCCCTGCCACCCAGTCCTGAAGCAAGGACTCGTGTGCTAAGGGAGCCAAACGCTGCCCCTGCCCCAGGAGGAGGGGGAGCGCCTGCTCCACCACAGGGGCATGCTTCCCCTCCTCACGCCTGCCCCCGGTTGGCAGGCAGCAGGGAGGTGCCTGCCTGCTGCCAGGGGCCTGGGCTGATCCAGGGCCAGGAGGTCCCAGTGCTGCCCCAGCCAAAAAAGGGGAAGGCCTTTCCATACTGGGGGTGTGGTGGGCCGAAGGCCGCCAAGTAGGGCTGAGAGCCCCCTTTGGGGCTGGGGCCACTAAGGGCCTATTGCTGATTGCTTGGGACAAACAAAAAACAAAATGAGGCCCGGAGTGAGGTCACGGGCTCACCCTGAGTGCGCTGAGGGGGGCATAGAGCAGAGCATGCCTGCCTGCACCCACTGGCCCTCCAGCATGTCCCAGGAGCCACTGAATGCTGCCCAGTGATACTCTGCCCGGAGATGTGAATGAGCAAGGGACAGGAAAGCAGCCCTGCCATCCTGTGGGTCCTCCCAGGTGGAGCCTCCTTCCTGGTCTTATAGGGCCTTTAAAATCACCTGGTGCTGCGGCACGTGCATTTGTATAAATGGCGCAATGTGGTGCACTTTTGAACTAAAACGCATGGAAGGTGTTTTAGTTCAAAAGTGCAGCGCTGCCATTTTGTTGGAGCAGACAAATGTATATGTAAAATGGCCACAGATGGTCTGCTTGGCCAGAGCCAGGAAGAGGTTGGCCAGGAGGCTGCAGGACTTGGTGGGGGAATGGGAAGGGGCGAGAGAGAGGGGAGGGGACTTTGAGCACAGAGGGGAAAGGAAAACGCTTACCTGCTTCTAGACTTCCATCCCTGGCTACCGCTGGGCTGGGCTGGGCTGGCCGGGTCGGAGAGGTGGGGTGTGGCTACACCACCATACCCACTCTGCATCCTCCCCAAGCAGCTCTCCTTCGTTTCACAGGCCTTCAGACTGCTGCTTGTTCTAGATGAACACTTGGCTCAGGCACAGGAATATTCACCCAAGTGAACTGGCACGTGGGTGTGACAGCGACTGGCAGCAAAGGGTTGGAGGCCATGTCAGGATACCCAGAATGGCTAGGTTTTCTGTTATGAATCCAAGCAATGGGCACGTTATCCATATAGTGCTGTAGTTATCCATGACCACAGAACTAAGAAACAAAAGTTTTGGACTATTTTTGCCTAGTTCCATGTATTAAGTATTTAAAAACTAAAAGAAAACACACACAATATGTAGCAAAATTGTGCACTTTCCAATACAGTTCTTTTGGTTTTTACTTTGATCTTGAATTGGATCCTACAGCCCTGAGCACCTAGCAAAGCTTCTAGTTTCTCTTTAACAGGGGGAATAATGTGTATTGTGTTAGAGGTGGTGACACCATCTCACCCCCCTTTTCAAAATCCTCTGTTCTGCCCACCGGGTGTGACAAGGAGCCATGCAGAGATGGGGATACAGGCTTGTCTGTCTGACCATGCTCATTCCCACGGGGGGGGCGGGGCTTGGGTGCATGAAGTGGGGAAAAAGCAGTAAATGGCAGTGGTGAAGCAAGTTACCACCTGTAGGCCTTTTCAAATAGGCTTGCCCCTTCCCCAAGCATCTCTCAGCAAACCTGATTAAAATGCAGTCTTTAAACCTGTTGGCTTTTGCTACCCAGAGCATTTCTCAGCATGCCACAATAATATTCAGTGTTTTAGCAAAATGAAGCAAGTAAACAAAAAACCTTGTTATCCTGGATGCTGGGAGGGGTCTGCTGTGTTTTCCACCTTTCTATCTCAGGCTTGCCCTCCTGGTAGTCCCGAAATTTCCCATCTCTGATGCTTCTCTTCTGTACCTCCCTCTGGTTCTGCTTGCTTGAGTTTTTGATTCCCAGGGAGCCACTCCCTCATTAGCCTTCTTAGAGCTGCAGCCTTTCAGCCAAGCTAGCTGTCTTCTCTTAAGGGGACAGGCCACCCTGTTACAGGTGGTTATGCAAGGTTCATGTCACCACCAATGGATCCCGAGACCTAGCTGTAATCCACAAATGGAAGGGCAGGAGCAGTTGCCAGGCACAGAGCAAAGTTGCACATTACACTTAGATACTTAAAAGGTGAGCATCCACATGTTAAAAGCTCATTAACTCATGCCAAGTGCCCTCAGAGCATCTCAAAGTGACGCCCCTTCAGGTGAGGGTGCCCAGCATGTGTCAGGGTAACTTCAGTCTGCTCCATGGAGATAAAACAAGCAATCTGCATTCCTCCAGCATCCAGGATGCACCACTCCCAGCCCTACCACCACCACCACCAGATTAGGGATCAAGCCCAGGTGTCTTGGCTCCTAGCTATGCCTCTGCTGCCAGCCCCCAGTGGCAAGTCAAGTGACAAGAAACAGTATTAACCCCTAACATGTGACTGCTCACAGCACATTCTAACTTTAACACCACTTTGTATACTACAGAGTCAGTATGATCTAAGTGCAATGTGTAACTTCACACACAGACATACTGTATGTAGCCTGGCACAGCACAAGTTTTACCTCCACCCCAAACCAGCCCCTGGCATTTGATACTCCTCCACTCCTCATCCTGCCACTGCCTGTTGGCTTGGGATCCACACACAAGTTCTGAGTGGGGAGTCCTGGGGTACACATGAAACCTTGGCAGCACCTGCCCAGGGTGGCTGGAGAACTCAGCTCTGGATTCCTGCCATAAAGCAAACATCAGATACAAGCCATGAAAAAGCTTTATAAAAAGTTTTATACTGCCCATGCCATGGCCACAGATTTGGGGCATTCATGGTATGACAAGGGATGAGACATCTGTTTGCTTACGCTTCGTGCCTCCACAAATTCTTGCACCACAACACAAAGGCGACATCCATTTCCAGCCTGCCATCACATAAATCCAAGCCATGCCCCTTTCTGACCTAACCTAAGCTAATCTAGACATAAAGGGAAGCGATGTGAGTTGTGGTATTCTTGGGGAGTCCCAGGTTTGTTGGCAAGTCATAAACATTTATCTTCCTCTTCTCCCATTTTTCCCTGAAAGCCCCAGAAGAGACAAGGGGGTGAGATAGTCCCTCCTCCCTTCACCAATAGTTTTAATAGGATTTTAACTGTGGATTTCAAAGCAATTGGCAAATGAGACTGAACATGTTCTACATTTCACAGACCAGGCAAAAGAGGTGACTTCATCTCCCAAGACCATGCAGCAAGTGAATGGCAGAGTGGAGAGCAGAAGCCATGTTTCTCCCTTCCTGTCCAATGTCCTTGCCACTACAACACACTCCTTCCTTACAAGGACAAGCATACTCTATAGGTGTCAAGGGAAAAGTTGTCTTTATCTTTGTCTCCATTCTTAGCACCAACTAACCGGTGGGTAGTTTGGGACAGTACAAGTTGTTTGTACATCATGTCCTGATCGTATATTTATAGTTTTTAGCCGCTAGTTTTTCCATGGAGAATATATCCAGAGGGTCAGGTGAATACATTTACATAATTTTTTTGAAAAAATCATGGTTTTGCTAGTTCGGAGCTGTTCAACAGGCAGCCTGCAAGCTACATCGGATCCTCAGGCTCCCAGTCTGGGCACTGCTCCCCGCATCACTGTCCTGCTGCTGACACTGGATTCTCCAGGCTTCCCCTCCCCTCTCCAACTTTAATTTCCTGCCCCTACCCCTTGGGGTGGAGAGGTGTGGTACGGTGCAGTGTGTGGAGTGAAGGAGCTTGCAGCATGGGGGGACCCAGGGCTCCTGCATGACACTGGTGCAGTGCAGGAGGGGGACACAGCGTGGAGCCCATGCAGCACATGGCCCAGGGGTGTGCAGCCCATGCAGCAGTCGAGGTCGCCTGTGGCCCCAGCCACTCAGAAATTGGGCAACTCTATACTAGGCCATCCAGTTACTGAGCTGCAGCACCCCCTGCTATTAAAACACCATGCCTTCCCTGGGTTGAAATGGCTCATTATACCTAATTGTGGCCCAGATCATCCCCTTCCATGGTAACAATAGAAGAAAGCCTGTTCCTCACAGCAATTCCCCTGCCTCATCCCAGAAGGACAGGTGCTGCCCACCCCTTGCAAAATTAAATTGCTTCTAAACCTGGTGGATCGAGGGAGAAGAGGAGGTGAGAACCATCCACTGAGAGGAGCTGGGGTCCAGCTAAAAGTTCTGTCCTCCAAGCAGTAATTTCCTCAAGTGGCAGTTCCCTGAAAAAAGTTAATATATGGTTAAATGGTCTTAACTTTTCCAGTGAAGTTAAACAGCAGGGAGAGAGTGACATGATGTGTGTCCCACCTGTCCTGACTTACCGTACCCATACTCCCTTCCCATATGGAAGAGGATAGATCTACATATGGATAGGAAGAGCTGTTCCTGTATGCTTTTGTCATCTGAAGTAGGTCAGAGTTGAGATAATTAATGCTGAATGGAGTAGTTTAAGGCAGACTTGAGCCCAGCTCTTCAGAGATAAAAGACATTAGAGACTGTAATTAAAAACAGTTATCTGTATGTCTGTTTGCTCCTCCAAAGCTGTTATGTAGATGTCTGAAATTTAAAAAAATCAAGATATTCTAATAGAAAGATTAGAACTATCACGAAGTACATCATTTGAATATTGACTAAACTGTGTGTCTGACTTGGACTATAAACTATTTGGGGCAGGAATTGCCCTTTCTTTCATGTTTGTACAATCTCAAGAACACTGTCACTGCTCAATAATGAATGTATTATTTTACCATGAAAGACAAAACTGAATATAAAAGGAATGAAGTACATAAATTAAATGAACAAAAGTCAGTGCAGTCAAAAGTTAAGGCAGTTTTAATTTCATGCTGCTGCTATTGTTACTAATCATAATTGCTATTTATTGCCAGTTATTATTTCTGCAGTTACAAAAATATTCATGGCACTTGATAAACATACAAGGAAGGGTGACTGCCAGAAGAACATACAGTCCTCATTACGGATAATAACAAAAGAGGAGTGAATAAAGGATAGTATATATGAAGCACAAGATTTTTTTTCAGCAAAGTTGTGGCAGCATTTTGTTATTTTGAAAGGTTATTAGTCTATTAAAAATGTATATTGTCATGTGGACTTATCTAATGCATACTGAACAGATATGAATAGGGCCTCATATAGGGGAACAGAGCACATCATGTAGATAGCTGTATCAAGGTTTACATTCAATACAAAGAGAATCAGTGGAATAATACATAAGTGCAATGGGGATCATTCCAGTTACATTTAAACACCTCAGCCAAGATTCTCATCACAAATGATTATAAATTCAATAATGAAGTTACTCTGGATATACACTCAGTTGGGTAAGGATGGAATCTGACCCCCAAATTTTTTATTTGCCTAATTTTGGATTATGTGACAACCTTCTGGATGTTTTAACCTTTATTAAGGAAATAAGGAAGAGAAAAAGGAAAGAACTAAGCTAAGAAGCATATTTAAGCGTGCTTAAACATAAAGGCCATGTCCAAACATGCATGGACGTTTGGTTCCCCAGGGACAACTAGCAGCTGCACACCTTGTGCCACTACTAGTTGTCTCTGGGGAATGCCTGTGCCATGCATACTCTGGCATGCAGCACGTTACCCAGGGTGGGGAGGGGAGGCTGGAGCCAGCACTGGGCTGGCCCCAGCAGCCTTACCCGAGGTTCTGCAAAGCTTCCCGAGGATTCATCAGCAGCAATCCTGCCACACAGAGCCTGGCCAGCAGGAGAATGCAGCTCTGGCTGGCCAGGCTCTGGCTTTGGGCAGCGCATGCTCCCCTCGCATGCACCACTCCGCTTTTTTTTTTTCCACATGTTTTTTTGATCCCTGAATATCCAGGGGTCAAAAAAGGCCCTCCACACTGTCCCCTTGCAGCATGGAGAAGAACTGAATGTACAGTATGTGGCGCTGCAGACATGTCTGCATGTCACATGGTCATGCTTGTCTGGACGGGGCCAAAGTGTTTAAGGAGGCTAAAACCAACCTTAAAGGCTGAAGTTCCCTAATACCTAACACCTGTGAGCTGTCCAAAGGGACTATGTAAAGCCAGAATCTACTAAGGACAGCTCAGTGCAAAATCAATTCAAGATGAGCAAAATGTTTTTCCTGTTAAGTGTTAAGGTGATGCAAAATAGCAAATGAAAACAATATCCTGGCAAGCATTTCTACCTATTCCAGTCTAAACCATTCTTACATTTTACACAACTGAGTCAGTTCTGTAGACTTGGAGTATTATTACTGATATAAATTATGGTAACCTCCAAAGGTACCAGCCAGATTCAGGGCCTGTTGAGCTAGGTCTTGTACAAACATATCAGAAGAACAGTTGTATCCTGATGAAATTACAGGATAATTACAAAAGTTAAAGACAAATGAGCAAGAGAAACAATAAGAGAGAAAAAGGAGAGTAAAGGACAATAGATAATTCCCAAGGCAGGTGGGGGAGGCAGTGGTGCAGTTGTTTCCCCCCTTCAATTCCTCTTCCATCCAAAGTTTAAAACCAACATCCTGGAAAGGGCAGTAGCATTTCTATTCAGGCAATGCTGAAAGAGTCAATTGACTTCATGACTAATTATCATCTTCCTCATTTCTCCTAATTTCTCTCTACACCACAGGTGCTAATGACCCTCTATCCTCTTCATAGTCTTGAGTCCCACTGTTCAAACTGTGCTTCCTTCTTCAATTTTGCTGTCCATTAGCCATCCCCTGGTAATGTCTCTCTTGTATTCCACAGCCCTACAGGTGTGTTAATATTAACTCAGGTGTAGAAGTGACTGGTAGTGAAGTATTGGAGGCACTGCCAAGATGCTCGAAAATGCTAGATTTTGTTTTATGAATCTGAATAAGAGGCATACATTTAACTATATTATTAACTACAAG